ACACACACACACACATATATATATATATATATATATATATACACTAATATTGAACACTTTAACCCATAAATATACCATACCTTAAAACTACATATTTCATCATATATATATATATATATATATATATATATATATATATATATATATATATATATATATATATATACACATAGTTCTTTAGGAAAAGTATCACTCCCTGATTTCAAAACTGGGATGGGCGGTGACTGGGTAATAAGCTTCGAGTAATAGTCAAAGTGGATTTGGGACTCATCTACATTACATTTTACCGCGGTAAGAATCATGATGCCAAGATGGTGTAATGGATAACGGCTTGGTATGAGAAATCAGAAAGCAGCGTTCGAATTCCATTCGAGTTCATTCTATTTACTTAGCCGTACATACTACTGGGAATCATATGAACTCTTTTGTTCTCTCTTCCAACAGCTATGGGTTAAATAGTAGGATAGACTAACTCTGGTTGGCAAACAGTTTAGGGAGGCTCTAAATTCCAAACCGTAACAATTGACCATGGTTCCGATCATTAAAGGTGAGAAGAAAAAAAACAAAGCAATATCTATTTACATTATTCGGACTATTGTCCTCATCTTTGTCGCCATATTTATTACAACGTTCCGGCCATTGTACGCTCCGGCCTTCTTTAGGTGGTTGGAATATCGAACTGAACCCAAAATTTTGCTCACTGGTGTAGACTGTTCTAGTTCCACGTGCCGTATTTAATGTATGTCAGTTATCAGTTATCTCCTATTAATTCCCCTCTGAAAGTTCTCCACTGCCTTAAACGGGTATTGAACTCACACTCTTTGCGTCCTGTCATTGGATCTAACTAACGCCTTTATCCACTGTGTCGTATGTCCTCGAGGACACATGGCACAGTGTATTAAATATGGTGACAAAGATGAGGACAATAGTCCGAATAATGTAAATAGCGCACATAATATCTCAGCTCAGTAATATAGATACTAAAGCAGTATGTATGTATGTATGTATCTATCTATCTATCTATATATATATATATATATATATATATATATATATATATATATATATATATATATATATATATATGAGAGAGAGAGTAACTCTATTATATTAGTGAGTCGTAAGTTAAATTCTGGCCACTAACAATCCGTTTCTTCCTGCTATCAATTCACAATATAAAGGTTCAATATTGAACTTAATGAAACATCAATTTTGCCGTTTAATCATCCGTTTTTATCTATTGTTGACATTTTTTACTTTGTTGTTGCAGAAAATAATTGGAACCAAACAATAGATCTGAAGTGGCATCGATAGGCAGCCATAAGAAAAAAAAATGAAACTTTGTCTACAATTCAAATTCAGATTCTGTCGACGCTAAAATCATTTTCATTGTTTCCTCCAAATCCAAAATTTGTTCTAGTCACAATCATTAGTGTAATCACAACGGCAATCATTGGAATTATCAAAATTATTAATGAAAATCTTGACATATTTATTTAATTAATCCGATTAATGACATCAATGCGCCCGGTCCAGTTTCTGCCTTTGTAGCACTAAGATAAAGACGTGCTAATTTTATTGTACTTTTTGTTAAAGTCCCCTCGAGAAGTAATGAACGTATTAAATAAACACTGATTATATATTGGATGTTCTAGATTGTGTCATAATTAGTTTGGTTCTTAGAAACATTTACTTAACTTTTAACGTGTTGCCATCAGATTTGTCAAAGTGAGCGACTATCCCAGAATCAATAGAATTTTAATTTCATTATGACGAGTTAGCTTTTTGTTTTTAAATAAAAATATTAATAAATTTAACAAACTTGAGCCACTAATTAGAAGGAAATCAATTCAAAAACGATGTTTGAAAGAATCGATATATTAAATATTTCGCTGGTTCGAGTTGAATCACGTTACAATAGCGTTATCTTTGTTAAAACGAAAAAATTTGGAGGGACCTTCTAAAGAAAGTATGAATGAATCTTGAAGTACAATTAGATGACAAGTAAGGTCATGCCAAGTATTTCAGTGATGTTCAAATTCTGGTTATAATTCTGGTTAATTTTCTTCAAATCGTGTATAGACAAGTTGAACTTTGTGAAGGCGGCCGAGTGAGCGAATCTAATTTTAACAAAGGCGTTGGAGTTTTCTCCTTGTTTTGCAGCCGTGTGAAGCACCTGCGTTTTGCTGGATTCTACGATTCGAAAAGAATATACAATGTTTGTTAAGTGGTAACGAACTGAACTAGTGACTTCAAGGTTAATTGCTTGAGCCTTAGAATTAAATGAACGGTAACAATAATCTACTTTTATATGCATATATATATATATATATATATATATATATATATATATACATACATAATATACATATATATACATATATGAAGAAATATAGTTTTAAGGTGTGCTATATTTATGGGATAAAGTGCTCAATATCAGAGATAGAGTGTATGTAAATATAAAAGTGAACATTGAAGTCGACATTCAGAGGCGACAGGCTGTTTCACGCTAGACGCAATCGTCAGGCCAAGTGGCCTTACAATTGCGACTGGCTTGAAACAGTCTGTCGCCTCTAAGTGTTGAGTTCAATGTTCTTATATATATATATATATATATATATATATATATATATATATAATTACATGAATCATTCATACAAAAAACAAATATAGAGGTTAATGATTTGAAATTGTTGAAGAAGACATCTTCGCAAACAATTTAAATCATTAACCTCTATTTTTTGTTTTTTTGTATGAATGATTCATGTAATTATAAATTGAACTGCACCTATAATCGAAATATATATATATATATATATATATATATATATATATATATATATATATATATAATCTAAAAGTAATGAAACTTAAAATAATTTCGTATTTCTATTTTGAGTTATTTACTCTAATATAATTTTCTGAAGGAAATCTAAAAAAAAAAAATACAAGGAAGTTTTAATCAGGTAGGAAAAAGAAAATCGATCTAATATTTTGAATCCTGTAAATTTAAGGGCAACCAACGCGTGAATTGCCCTCTCGGCCTTCAAGGAAATTTCCCATCCTGTCTTTAGGAGAATCGGATCAGACTGAAAATGGTTCATGAGCGGCGAAGCGGTTTTGTTGGCTTTGACTAACTTCTCTCTAATCTATCGTCATTTCCATGGCAAATTTACAAACTTTTACAGATTTAAATTCCCTAATTCAGCCAGTGTGCGAAACACACACCTGAGAAGATGCTTTATTGGCCCATTAGAATTTTACCCTTTTTTAGTCTAAGGTCAACCAATATCTATCCTACATATCCTCATACTTCCTTCTTCCTCCATTACTTTAAAACAATCTCACTCATTAAGTCTCTGCCTTGAGTGGCTTCTGGGCTTTATATTGGGTGAAACAAAAATCAACTCTTAGCATCTTGCTTCCACACCTCGCCAGAATTTTCACGCTGTTTCGCAAAGAGTACTGCTTCCTCAGTGTAGCGGTAAATCTATCCAATTTAGTCCGCGATCGCTGTTTTAACACTCCAAATATTTGGATAGTTTCCCGCGTGTGTACCTGACTAGTAGCCAACAGTAAATACCGCGGATAGAAGACTACCTAAAACGTATTCCTCATTCTCAATCTGGCCTATTTACATACGACCGCAGAATGATAGCCTAAAACGTGACGAGGAAAAGCAATTAGAAATGAAATAAATAATAGGAAAGAAGATTAATAATGTTTGACATCATTTAATAACAACAAAGCAAAGTATAAAGCATAAAAACATGATATCATTGCCCTCATGCTTTGGAGTATGGCGTCTTGTGTGTGAGTGGATACACAGAATGTAATCGTTGTAATGGAATGTCTTACACTCCCTATCGCCTATGTGGACTGACTGTATCAGTAGCTATATATAGTGAGCACAGGATATACCAGGGGGCTCGCTTCGGCAATTAGTTGGAGATTCGACTTCAGCTGTGCTGGAGACCAGACGAGGCTAGGCCGAAAGGCAGAGTCTCGTCTGGGGTGGTAGACAGCTACCCAACACTGTGTATACGGGATCTACGAAGAATTTTGCCCGAGCCTACAGGCTCGGTTTTGACCTGCATTAAAAAAAACGGCCTTGTGCCACATCCTGCCTTGACGGGAGGGTAAAGTAAATATCTTTGCTTCGGCAATTAGTTGGAGATTTGTCTCCAGCTGTGCTAGTCGAACTCTCTGCTTTCGGGCAGAAAGGAACGTAGATGAGGCTATACCGAAGGGCAGAGTCTCGTCTGAGGTGGTAGACAGCTACCCGATCCCGTGTATACGGGGTCTATGGGGGATTTTTGCCCGACACCCTACATTAAATTCGGCCTTGTACCACATCTGACCGCGTGGAGCGGTTGGCAGATATCCTTACTTCGAGAATTACTAGCCTGCCACCCGATTTCCTGTCTTTCAGTAGTGTATTCTGTTTTACAATAAACCTCTCTTTCTTTCATCTACGCGCGTGTTGCTGTTCCTTCACTCGAGTACCACCTTTGTCTGTTTGTAACCTTCTTTAAGGATACAACGGGAATATATCCATGATGAGGCAGAAAAGAAAGTAAAAAGGGTTCGAAAACGAGGCTAAGAGGGCGGCAAATCGTGATAATATTATGAAAATGACTTTTAAAACAGTGTGGTTCAGATGAAATGAAATTAGTAACTGATAAAAAATTCAAAAGAAAATAAATGATTGGTTGTTTGTATATGTTTACCGGCATATCAACACTCCCATGGGTTAATGCCGAAATCTAAATATTTTGTAGGCAATTTTATTTTTATTTTGGAAATAATAATGATTTAGTGATACAAGTCTTACTAATTAATCCATAGCTAGGGGAAGAAAAGTGGATTCATATTTTTCCTAAGAGTATTTGCATCTAATTTGCGTCTAAATGAACCTAACAAACCCAACTGAAATTAGAACTCGTCTCTCCGATTAACAATTCTGAGACATTATCCATTACACTACCCAAACATCTAAG